AACTTTCGCGGTTCAACAACATGGACGAACCGCTGTTGCAAAGAATGCTGGGAGCGTTCACTCATCTCGCGCGTTACCCGCGCGAGTTGGTGTCGTGACGATGTTCGCGCGTAATCCATATATTGCGTGTGTGTGTGTGTGGTGGGGTTACTCCCAGAAGAGTTGGGTGGGGGTGTGCGGCCTGTTTCTCAAAACCCTTGCTCTATTTATGACCAAAATCTGTGATTTTCCCTACCCTTTTTATAACCTGACCAAAAATTCGACCCCTATTTATTTATGACCTGACCCTTATATCAAAACACTCTTTCAGCCGTGTATTACACTGTGATAAAACACTCCAGACATTTGAGAACACTCGCCTGCGGCTCGTGTTTTCTACATTTCCCTCGTGTTCTCAAATGCAAGTTGTGTTTTATCACAGTATATTACACGGCTTAGGATTCTTTATTTGCTAAATAACTCACTGACGTTGAGGACATGGCTACAAAGAGAAAGCTTAAGTGTGACGCTGCTGGAAGGGTTGCTTGTTAACAAGAGCTAAAACACAGTCGCTTTACAAGCAGGTAGCAAATGGCCCTTTGGAGTCTTGATTTCATTTGGAAGGTTAAGAGAAATTATTATATGGTTTGTGCTTCTAGCCGATATTACCTCCAATCTGATTTCAAGGCGGGATTCTACAGCACTACTTATAGGCATTTATGAGTTGTTCATAATTAACAATTATTGGACAAGGTTGAGCAAAATATCGTGACTTGTCTGTGGCAAGCAGATCAATTATGTGCTGAAGCCGAGGGCTGAAGCAAGTAATTGATCTGCGAGACACTGACAAATCACAATACTTTANACACTTCTGCGACGCGTCGCTGCGACAAAATATAGATTAACCAATGAGAGAGCGTCATTTATTTTCCCATAATCCCTCGGTAGCCTGTTCAAAATGGCGACTAGACATGTCGATAGGCAAAAATCTGACCGATCCGAGGATTCTTCGCATTCAGCATGGAATGCATCCGCAACTTAAGGGGTGATCCAATGGGATAAATCCTCGATAGCAGGTTCTTTAAAAATAGGGTAATAAGCCCCCCTTTCTTCTCTTCTTGATACACACTGTAGTGTCCAGTATCTTCTTTCAACCTGTTTATATTTTTCATTATCTAACAGCATCGTAAACAGAACTAAAAGCTTCTTTTTCTTCGACCTTCGCTGTAGGTCCGCCGTGTTTAATTAGAAAACTAGTTCGCATTCCCCCTCATCCGAAATCACTGCGACAAGCGTCGACCTGTTTTAGAAGCAGTACCGCACACGGAGCGACTTATCGCAGAGACCTGTCACTGCGGCTTGTCGTCTAGTGTGTCTCGGCCTATAAACTTTCTGAGTACGAACAGGCAAAAAAAAAATCAAAAGTTGAAACAACAACAGAACCAGTTAATTCCAGTAAAATTAAACACTAGCACGCATTTTATGCGTCATAATGTGGGAAAATACCTTAAATAATAGATTGTTTAATTTGGCAATACTTTGAGAACAGCTGCTTAACATAGGTCATGGAAAACTCGGAAAGATCATGGTAAAAGTCATGGAAAGTCATGGAATTTCAAAAGGCCAAAAGAGTACGAACTTTGTACAGGCGACTGGCATATGCGACTCAAGTTTGTTGTTGTTTCTCGCCTGTTTCTAAGGGTTTTCACTTGGATTCTTCAACTTTCTCTTAACTCAAAAACACAGATCAACACGTAAAATTTCGTAGCGAGTTTCTAGATCTAGCGCTCACCGTTTACCTCGCCATTGGAACCTTTTTTCGGTCATGATCTTTAAAAGCCATTTTTAGAATTGAACATGAAAGAATTCCGAGCTTTATGATTTAAATGGTTGATCGTTCTTTGACGAAATAATTTACTACATGCAGTTGACCGTGGATTTTCGTTTGGAACGCACCTTTGCGGTACTTCTCAAGTGTCAACAGAATAGATTCTACTGTTATTAACTACATGTCTTTTATAAGGAACGATTTGGAAATTTGGCGCAGGATGCATCGAAACGCCGGTTTCTATCACTTATATTTCTTGTCATGTCTCATGTCTTTTTTTATCAAAAAAACTTAATGCAAAATTAAACATACAAACTGAAATGCCGTAACTTAGCCAAGTTCACCTGTATGTCCTTTGCCTTCGATGATTCAACATTAGTTAACATCCAAGCGGGGACTTAAATCTTTTTTTCTTATGTAACTTAAAACAGCAACAACAAAAATATACAGCTAATGTAAAAGTATCACGATATTTTTTTCCCAGAATTTGTAGTATTATATTTGAGAAAGTACCAATTTCAGTTGTTACCTTAACAAACGGTAGGGTGTTTTGAGATTGCAAATAATGATACATGTGGTTTCCATGACAGTTATCACCTTGACGACGATTGTTTCCAAATTGTAGTTGAAAAGTAAGAGACCGCTTTTCATCGATTGGTCAGATCGTTGTTCATGCATTTGAAGGGTTGCTACCTTCGCGTTAATTAAACACAAACACGTAATATTTATTGCTCGACGTTTTAAGTTGCCATGGTGGAAATCGTGTGTGTTGTTTACTTGGAAGTTGCTCGCTTTCTGTTGCTAGGAGATGTCAAATTTGTTTTCGTTATGAATCTGAGAATATTTTCTTTCTGTTCCCGACGAGTTTTCAATTGATGATCAGTTTCACCTAATTTTATGCAGTTTGCTCATTTTTTGAAACGAACATACAGGGAAAATAGGAAGAAAAACGATTTGATGTTCCGTCTCCAAAGCGACCAGGAGAAAATAAATGTAAATGTTTCTGGTCTCCTTGGCATCGGTCACCTTGACAACCATTGGTGTTTCCAAGCTGTTACATCAAGGAAGAAAATCGCTATTCTCTGATTGGTCAAATTGCCTTTGCATACATTTAGAGAGTTTCTTTAGTGACGTTTGGGCAAGAAAAACATCGAAATATTTATCTCACGCCGTGTAAGTCGCTACCGGGTGATTGCACTTGATTGGTCCTTTAAGATGTGCGTTGCGAAGAAAAAACGTGATAAATAAGCTCGCTGTGCTGTCTTGAAAACAGTTGCTTTTAACTGCACGAACCCAGTGTCTTGGTGTGTGATGTCAGTCGGAAAAATGACTTGTATAAGAGCTGTAAAATCGGAAGGGGGATTTGATCACTCTTTCCTTCGAAACGAGGATTTTTGTAACGAAAATGGCAGTACATGTTAGTTATTTTTTGTTTATTTCTTTATGTAGTCCCTGTGAGAGTTCATGTACTTTACATTTTAATGCACCAATATGTGAATGAAAATCGTGGTTGCCAAAATGTAATTTATTATCCAACTGCAGGGAATACTGCCCAAATAACAGTACAAATATACAGCGATATTGTACAGTAGAAAACCTGTTTGGCGTATTTGTACAGTAGAAAACCTGTTTGCCGTACAGGTCGGCGCGCGCACGCAAAACTGTCACACTCACCCTCTTTCATTGATAAGTTTATTGACTACAGCTGTTGGATAATAAATCTCTGATTAGATGTTTTGGCCTGTAGTATCGCTGTATATTTTTACTCGTTGTTTGCACAACTCGTAAAAATATACAGCGATATTACACACCAAAACACCTAATAAGATATATATATTAAAACAATAGTTAATAATTCACTCTTCTCGATATATTTTTGATAGTAATTTTTCTACGTACATACTTTTTTCAAGAGTTAACATGATGTTTTTACTCTGATGAAAATGAAGGGTGAACAATTTTGTGAAAGCTTTGATCTTTGATTTATGAATGAAATTCACGTAAACCATCTTTGGAAAAACATTTTTGCGTCAATGTGTTAGGACTATTCGCAGCAGATTTTTATTTCAGAATAGCGAATCATCTGCTTATTTCATTAATGTAATGCGCTAGAAATAAATTATTATTATAATAAATTATTATTAATCACTGATACTCATTATAGTTTTACTAATCTTTGCAGTTTTATTCAGCAAAGTCCCCAAAACAACNTGATTGAGAATTAAATAAAAGAAAATGGTGAACATTTCTGTATTTTGTTTTGCTACTTTTTCAACGCAAAATGAAACCGGTCTAGATGCCGGTCTAGATGGGAAAATCTAGACCGCGGTCTATATCGGTTTCAGCCAATCAAATTCGTGAATTCGGTAGTTCCCAGTCCTTGTGGGACACCGCCATATAATAAACAGCGATATTGTACAGTAGAAAACCTGTTTGGCGTATTTGTACAGTAGAAAACCTGTTTGCCGTATAGGTCGGCGTGCGCACGCAAAACTGTCACACTCTCCCTCTTTCATTGATAAGTTTATTGACTACAGCTGTTGGATAATAAATCTCTGATTAGATGTTTTGGCCTGTAGTATCGCTGTATATTTTTACTCGCTGTTTGCATTTTGACTCGCCCTACGGGCTCGTCAAAATACGGCACAACTCGTAAAAATATACAGCGATATTACACACCAAAACCCCTAATAAGATATATATATTAAAATAATAGTTAATAATTCACTCTTCTCGATATATTTTTGATAGTAATTTTTCTACGTACATATTTTTTTCAAGAGTTGACGTGATGTTTTTACACTGATGAAAATGATTGGTGAACAATTTTGTGAAAGCTTTGATCTTTGATTTATGAATGAAATTCACGTAAACCAGCTTTGGAAAAACATTTTTGCGTCAATGTGTTAGGACTATTCGCAGCAGATTTTTATTTCAGAATAGCGAATCATCTGCTTATTTCATTAATGTAATGCGCTAGAAATAAATTATTATTATAATAAATTATTATTAATCACTGATACTCATTATAGTTTTACTAATCTTTGCAGTTTTATTCAGCAAAGTCCCCAAAACAACTAAGCTGTTCGAGTTTATTCTGGACATTCTGTCGGAGCCGCGATACTCTTCAGTCATTTCATGGGAAGGAACAAATGGCCAGTTCGCGATCAAACGACCTGACCAAGTGGCTTATCTGTGGGGTGAGAGGAATGGTCGAACAAACATGACTTACCAGAAGTTTAGCCGAGCTTTACGTTACTACTACCACAAGAAGGTTGTGTGCAAAATTCCCGGACGGAACTGCGTGTACAAGTTCAACTTCCCAGAACTCGAGAAGCAGTACGGTTATCACAGCAGCGTGATATTTCCGGCCACAACAGAGCCCAGTGGTAACAGAAACAGCTACGAGATTCCCGCCACTGTTGCCAATCACTTTCAGAATGCAAACTCCGAGTTCCATTTTCCTGGCACAAGGGAGTTCATTGGTAATGACAACTACGAGATTCCCGCTTCTTTTCACTCCCTTCAGCATCCAAACACCGCAAACGCGGCAGTGGCGGAAACACTGTATTCCGTACGTTCCCCTGTGGTGGTACGCATGATTACACATGAAAGCCAAAGCCTGCTGCATTCACCCTCCTATCCAAATCCACGTTATTTTCACTACTGCTGAACAGGTATAAACCCCCATTTTAAGGTTTTTCATTTGTTCAATATGCCAACGTGACTGACAATCTGAGCTTTTGTGTTAGGGTCATTATAAGACAGACCGATATGATGATTATAAACTCTCTTTACAGTGTGAGTTAATCACTTAATATTCACTCTAATTGATTTTGTTAAACCTCAGCTAACTCTTTCCACACTCCTGCAATTCTGTCTGATAGTAAAGTAAGGAGGTGCAAAACGGAAGGCTCGGTTGTTCAGTTTGATGTGGGATACCCCCACTCCCTTACGCATTCGGAAAGGGGCTTGAGAGATCAGCAGAACTCGAGTCTAGTTCAATCAGAGAACGAATACAGTGTTTGTGCGATAATCCGTAATAATAATTGCACCTTTTGGTGGACAAAAGTAAGGTTAGTGACTTGGTTCAGACAACAAAGTTTCAGAAACCGAGGCTATCGCGAACCAATTATTTCTTCAGACGATGACAACGCTTTCACGGAATTTGTACTTCCCGTTCAACGAACGCTTTGTTTGTAAGATCGCCTCTGTCACATTTTTAAACTGCCTCATATCTTAATGGTTTTCCTAGGTTGACAAGCTGCATTAATCGCATATTATTTTAATTTCGTCTTTTAGCAGTTATTTGGCGTTGTCAGATCCGCATGTAATTTAAACCTGAATTTTTAGCAAATTTTCAAAATTATGCGTTTCGAAGATGTTTTGAAGACGTTGTACCAAACGAGGTTTAGCATTCGTGCACTTAAATTCTTCCATTGAAGAATTGTTACACATGTATATAACGATCTTTTCAATCTTATGTAACCACGATACATTATTGTCATTTCTGTACTGTATTATGTATCGAGTAATTTCGTGAAGTTAACGTATTTTCAGCAATATTTTGTTCATGAAATGTAAGCAGTGGTGTGAAAAAAATAAATAAAGCAAATGACAGAGTTTCTCAAACGAATGTACTTTTGCTGACCTTTAATTCATTTAATTGTTGTTTGACGATCAACTTCAAAGGTTTGTCAATTGTCAGTGAATTTTTCATACTATGCACCGAAAAAAGGGGCGACTTTTTTTCCTCAATCGGTAACGGTAGGGAGGAAGGGATGTTTATGTAGTGATCCCGGTATTTGCGTAATAATTTGTCGAAAACTAACTTCATTGACAAAGTAAATTGAAATTAACCACAAGCCACTTGTCCCCACATTTATGATGGACTAAGTATCTATACCTTCTTTGCACCTGGGATACGCGCCTTATTAAATCTCACTCGACCTGTGACACTAAAAACCTCGTCTACGTGATTCAATATTTTGTAATACTATAGACAACCCTAACCCCAAATCGAAACCTACTTACAGTTGCTGAACATGTCCTCTCCTCTCCCAACCATAATACCAACGACATGCAATACACTAATCCCAATCCGTTTGGTGAGGAAAGCTTTTTCAATAATTGTAAAAAGGAGAACAATTAATTCTGATGATCTTAACCTCCGCGGAGAAAAATAAAAACAAACTTAACTGACAGGATGTAAATTAAAAATAAGTTAAAATAAACAGATGAAATAGAGATACGATAAAGAATAAACAATAAAGGGAAATTTTAATTTCCCTTTATTGTTTATTCTTTATCGTATCTCTATTTCATCTGTTTATTTTAACTTATTTCTAATTTACACCCTGTCAGTTAAGTTTGTTTGTACCATGCGAGACAGAGATTCCCTTCTATTTCTACTCGTTTATGAGCGCGGAGAACCTCTGCTCGACCGCACGATTTTCTGTTGTGGATGCGCGAGCTATGTCAGCATGTCAGATTTATCATGCTTTGTCCTGCGAAACGTTTGCACGTGATCAAATTTTTAGTTCACCTATTTTCGGTTCCATTGTGGTAAATGCTTGAATTCCAACTTTTGTACCGTTTATTTGTTAGAGAAACTTCAGAAATTTCATAAAATTCTGGGATACTGTGCGACAACGAAAAGGACGAATTAAACCAAATTGCCAACCCATGTTGGTACATGCAGTGTTTTTAGCCAATCACAGGGCAGCGGATATTGTTGGCTGTCTCTCAAACAAGTAGCACTTTGAATCCTTTTTGTCACGTGCAAATTATAAACAAATTAATTAAAACGTGTTTTAATTCATTCGTTCCTGGTTGTCAGGGTCAAACGATCGAGTGTATTCCCTCACGTCTCTCATTGAGCAGAAAGAGAAGGGAATCATTGCCTCCCAGGGTAGTTGTTTTACGTGTTTCCTGTATTATGCAAATACCATGACCACTACATAAACACCACTTCGAAGGTAAAATTTTCATTGTACCTGCAGAAGGTTGGTTTGGCCGGACGAATTATAGTGTACCTCCAAATTTTAAAATCCTCCTCCGTTGTACTTGTATCA